AATATTAATAATAAATTTATTTATCAGATTTATAAAATGTGGCTTATTTTTTTTGAAGATGGCTTTGCTCAAAAAGTTTTCTATTATATATATATGTGTGTGTTTGCATAGCCATCGGTTATAAAAAATAATAAATTAAATAACAATTATAAAAATATAAAAATATAAAAATTTTTTTAAAAAAGTTTTTTTTAAATATGATGATGAATTTAAAATGTTATCGAAATAAAACTATATTATTACTAATATTAATAATAATTATAACAACAATCACAGTAATAGCACAACCACAAGATGAAGGAAATGTTTTTCTATTAGATGATGACAGTACTAGTAATATCGACTTTAAAATTAGGGAGGAGGTGGATTATAATAATTTTGATATTTACGATAATAGTAATTTTAATGACTACCATGAATTAGATCTTGACAACGAGAACGATGATAATGATGATGATGATGATGATGATGATGATGATGATGATGATGATGATGATGATAATGATGATGATTCTGTGGTAACTATTACAGCTGTATCAACTTTTAGAGTTCCGGTTACCGTTACTATTACAGCCAGTGATAGTGTCGCACCATTGACCTCAACACCAAATGAATCAACAACAAAACCATCACCAAAACCAACATCGACAAATAAATCAATAACAGAATCACCACCTGGAGCAAAAAAAACTACATCACCAAATCCAGAAGCGACTACAGAATCACCACCTGGAGCAAAAACAACTACATCACCAAATCCAGAAGCGCCTACAGAATCATCATCGCCAAAAGTAGAAGAAACCACGAAATCACCATCTCCAGAATCACCATCTCCAGAAGTAGAAGAAACCACGAAATCGCCACCACCACCACCACCATCACCATCACCATCACCTAAGGCAAAAGATAATATAGAATCAACATCAATAAAAGCAGAAGCAACCACAGGATTGTCGTCACCAAATCCAGAAGCAACCACAGGATCGTCATCACCAAATCCAGAAGTAACTACAGAATCGCCACTAAATGCAGAAGATACTACAGGACCAAAAGAAACAGAATCATCATTACCAACAGAAAGAACTACAGAATCATACAAAGTCCAAGAATCCATTTTAGGTGTTGACAACTGCATAAAGAATAATGATTTGTTATTACCCGAAATCTATACAGAATATGATATATTGTTACCAGGCTCTCAATTAAATTTAAAGTATGTAGCATATATATTAATGAATTATAAATTAATTATTTTCATATATAAACATATATGTATATATTAATAAAAAATTTTTTTTTAAAGTCAACAGAAAGAAGTTATCCATGCTATAACTAATTTTCTATGAAAGCTCAATTCAAAATTTACAAGAACAAGGATAAGAATCAGAAGAATTGAGTATATTGGATAATGAAGATGGAATTATTATTTCAGGAAAAAGAGAATGGACACATGAAGAATTGATGATTCTAATAGATGCTGTTTTCTCCAGAAGGATAAACCCCAAAAAGCTCCATGATTTGGGTATAATAAAAAGCACCCAGCAGATGTCCAAGAAAAAAATTCAATAAAAATACGGTTGAAGAAATTGATTCATAACAGATCAATGCATTAATTTTTTTTCTTATATTTCATTATAACATATATAACGTCTATAATATTAATCTATTGTTTTTATTTTTCATACTATTACTTTAAATAGGATTTCAAACAAAAGACATTTAAAATACTATTTATTTTTCCAATCATAATTATGGTGCATATAATAAGAGATTAACCAAATCATTCAAGCAATCAAGAAAATCATGACAAACATCCTAAAAGAAAAACAACAAGCAAATAAAGAACTAATCAATGAAATTGAAACATTGAAAAAGCAATTATCCAATAAAGAACAAGAAATT